AGGTTTGGTGCTCCCGAATATTCCGCTCTCGGATGTGAAAGCTGCGAAATTGATCCCTTCCTTACTATCCTTTATTATTTCAGAAAATTAATTCAAGATGGTTTGATAGAGACTGTGTGCTTAATATGATAGACCTAAAACCCATCAACCAACAAACCCTAGAAGAAAACCTAGGCAATACCATTCAGGACATAGGCATGGGCAATGACTTCGTGACTGAAATACCAAAAGCAATGGCAACAAAAGTCTAAATAGACAAACAGGATCTAATTAAACCAAAGGGCTTCTGCACGGCAAAAGAAACTACCATCAGAGTGAACAGGCAACCTACAGAATGGGAGAAAATTTTTACAATCTACCCATCTGACAAAGGGCTAATACCCAGAATCTACAAAGAACTCAAACAAATTCACAAGAAAAAATCAAACAACCCCATCAAAAAATAGGCAAAGGATATGAACAGACACTCCTCAAAAGAAGACACTTATGCAGCTAACCACATGAAAAAATGCTCAACATCACTGGTCATCAGGGAAATGCAAATCAAAACCACAATGAGATACCATCTCACGCCAGTTAGAATGTCAATCATTAAAAAAGTCAGGAAACAACAGATGCTGGAGAGGATATGGAGAAATACGAACGCTTTTACACTGTTGGTGGAAGTGTAAATTAGTTCAACCATTGCGGAAGACAGTGTGGCGATTCCTCAAGGATCTAGAACTAGAAATACCATTTGACCCAGAGATCCCATTACTGGGTATATACCCAAAAGATTATAAATCATGCTACTATAAAGGCACATGCACACGTATGTTTATTGCGGCACTATTCACAATAGCAAAGACTTGGAACCAACCCAAATGTCCATCAGTGATAGACTGGATTAAGAAAATGTGGCACATATACACCATGGAATACTATGCAGCCATAAAAAAGGATGAGTTCATGTCCTTTGGAAGGACATGGATGAAGCTGGAATCCATCATTCTGAGCAAACTATCACAAGGACAGAAAACCAAACACCACATGTTTTCACTCATAGGCTGGAACTGAACAATGAGAATACTAGGACACAGGACAGGGAACATTACACATCGGGGCCTGTCAGGGGGCAGGGGCTGGGGAAGGGATAGAATTAGGAGAAATACCTAACATAAATGATGAGTTGATGGGTGCAGCAAACCAACATGGCACATGTATACCTATGTATCAAACCAGCACATTGTGCACATGTACCCTAGAACTTACAGTATAATAATAATAAAAAAGGTATATTCCTTTTATTCTGGGAATTCTCTTTAAAAAATAGATCACAGAACAGACCTTTTTCTAGTGCTTTCAAGAAGCATTCAAGTTTTCATATTTTCCAAGAAGCTAATTGGTCAATTCAACTCATCTTTGTAACCATAAATTTTATATGGTCATATTTATCAACACTCTCTAACATAATTTCTTTCTTTTATATTTTATAGAAATTATTTTCTTAGCCTGTGTTTGCATAAATATTCACCTGTGGTTTTATCTTGTCAAAAAAAAAAAAAAAAAAGGCAAGCAGGACACAAAAGAAAAAAAAACAAAACAAATTTTACTACTTCTCTTAACTGAATGCCCTACTCCTTAGAACACCAAAATTGAGAGTCATTAGACTAGAATACAGTCATTAAAGATAGCAATGAAGACAATGAAGAAGTACATGGAGAAGAAAAAATGTTAAGAGAAAAAAGAATACAAATTATATTTATACAATGATTACGAATATGTAAAAATAGGTATGCAGGTAGCCAAGGTGGTAAATTTATGTTTATCCAAAACCAAAAACAGTGTGTTGGAGTATTTTGATATTTTTCACCATAAAAAATTACGATTTTTCATCAAAGCTTTTAAGATAGTCATCCAAAAATTGGCTAACACAACAAAAATCCCACAAAACAGATTCCAACTAAAGAAAAATCTTTAAAGGCAACCAATCAGCACCTAAGGAACTCAATCATCTGGCTTTTTATTTTTTGAGATGGAGTCTTGCACTGTCGCCCAGGCTGGAGTGCAGTGGTGCGTGACACCAGGCCAGGCTAATTTTTTTATTTTTTAATTTTCTTTTAGAGACAGGGTTTCGCTACATTGGCCAGGCTGGTCTCAAACTCCTGACCTCAGACAATCTGCCTGCCTCAGCCTCCCAAAATGCTGGGATTATAGGCATGAGCCACTGTGCCCGGCCAATCATCAGGCTTTTTGATAGAAGGTATTTCTAGAATTAATAGAGACATAAGATCCAGTACCATTGCCTTGACAGTGGACAGACTGATTTACTCCAGTCAGGTCTACATGGGCAAAGTAAAATAAAACATGGAATGCCATTATCTTGACAGTGGTGCTGGGTGGAAGGAAGGGCAATTAGGCAGATACAGGGACCTGAGACTCAGGTGGTTATTTTCTTCATCTCATCGGTGGGGACTTGGCTTCTTTGACTGCATCTTGATATGCTTGGTTACACTGTTAGTATTTCCCCTTATGGATACTGTAGGCTTATTTTATAGCCAGAGTGAGTAGGGGCAGGCTATCTGGCCAGTCGCCCCCTCAGATTATCTTCCCCAGACAGCTAATGTTTATTAGAGCAACTAGAGAAGAGAAGAAAAGAGTGACTGGAAGGAGGGGAAAGAAAGAAAGTGGGAAGGCAAGCTAGCCAACGTCATTACTTTTACATCTGCAATACTGAAAATGCATAGTACATGAACATTACCTTGTGTTCAGACACTGAGGCAGTGTTTTCAATTGCCTGAAAAAACAAGAGACAGTCACAAAAACATTACGACACATCAGTGAAACACGTTTCACCTTACTCAGCAAGCCCTGTTATGTCATCCAAGAGCCAATGTGTCCATATGGCAGCCATCAGCCATCATTTCCACTCAAATGACTTTTGAGATTTTTATTTCAATCTACCTCAGTTATACATCTGTCACTAATTGCCACTCATTTCCTCCTTGATAATCAAAGTTCCAAAGATCTCACCTTAATCCAGGCTTCTGAAATGGTTTTCTCATATCTAATAGCTGACTTTATTACATCAAAGAGGAGAATAACACAGCTCTGATGCTGCTTTCTTGATTTCCTGAGGAACTACAAGTAGCAGAGAGGAAAAAAAATTACTCTTACCTACCAGAAAAGAACTTACAAGATCTGAGTTCCTGCTTAGTAGCCACGTACCCCTGGAGGAAATGACAACCTCACATATAAGATGGCTAATAAACTTGCACTGTAGTCTGTCTGGGATTGATCTGAATGGCTAAGAAAACATATAAACACATACATACTCACACACATATATGTAATTTGAAACACTGTACAATACTAGATGTAAATGTCATAATAGTACCATTATTTGTAGTTGTAAGTATTAAGCTCTAACTCTGACTTTGGGATGTCAGAAAATTGTGACATCCTGTGTGAGAAAAAGGTGGCAATCATCCATGAGTTCTTTACCTTGCTCGTCCTTTACTTTTCAACTTTACTTGGGAGGCCTGCAACCGTGATGGCAAAACACAATGTTGCAGATCCAACTTCTCCCGAAGCTCAGAAATTACCTGCAGAAAATAAATATTAACTATGGTTTTCTGCTCATTCATAGTGGGTAGGCACAGTCCAGTCTCTCAGCCATGACAATCTCCTGAAAGACTGAGGAAGAAAAAATTTTAAACGTTGGACAAGACATTCTGAAAAATAGCGTTGATTAGAATAGCTAATGCAATGTCATAGAATGTCAGACCCAAAATTTCAGAATTCTGTGAGGTACTACACAGAAAGAGTTAAATGTAACTTATAGCAGCTTATATAGAGTAATGAATCTGTTGAATAGCTCCATTCTCTTCGCTGAATGCTATCTGGGTTAGTCAGTATTCTCGGTTAGTCAGGGGACAGAGAAGAGCAATTGGGATTTATTAATTTAAGTCCCTTTATCTAGGTGTGATGGGAATGAAGAATGAACTTATTGTCACAGGTAAATCCTCCAATCTAATAGATGACAACTTATCCATCACTGGCGAACCTAAAAATTAAAAGCACAAAAACTTAATACGTTTTCATATTGATATACCTCAACTTGTACTGAACTGTTAGGTAAAATCAGAAAAAAATCACTTCTCTCACTCAATTTTCCCACTTGTAATTTAGGAAAAAAAAACCCTCTATATTTTTCCCCAAATTACCATATTTTAGTTGTTCATACCACAGCTTCATCAAAAACAGACAGACAATAAATGTGAAACAGAGCTATTATCTTACATTTAGAGCCTAAATTCTCAATTGGCTATAGTAAGGCAGAAAAAGTATTATTCCTATGGGAAGTAGGTACAATTCAGACAATATAGAAGATTTCCACTCAAAACTTACTGCTTAAAAACAGACCTGTGAATCTATCATAGAATAGCATCTGAAACTCATTGAGAAAAATGAAAAAAGAGAGATATCAAATATGATTCACTATGGTTTCAAAATGAAATATTCATTACACAAGATTTCTCCCAAGACAACAACTAGCACCTGTTCCAGGAGGTTGGAAAGTGGGCTCTGCTTCTGGAAAGCTGAGTCTTTCCTACCTTCAATAGGAAGTTTGGGTCAAGTCGGAGGCTGGAAAGGACATCCAGGATTGGGACAATGAGTGAAGTATTCTCTATCAGTAGGTCACTGTGAATGGTAGAAAAACAAAAAAGTTGTGTAATGGTTTGAACACAGCTGGGCAGACAATGACTTGTTTATAGTACGTTTCTTTAAAAATTGTTTTGACTGCAAAAAATAATACATATTATAATAACGGCCGAGAATCTTCCAAACTAATGACAGACAACAGTTCTATGACAGAAAACTCTTAAAAGAAGCTGGGGAGTGGGTGAGAGAACACCTAACTATAGGGGAACAAGGATAAAATTATAGCTGATATCTTGTCAGAAATTAGGCAAACAAGAAGAAAGTGGAGTGAGGAATTTAAAGTGTTAAAAGAAAGCAACTCCAAAAGAAATCTAAATAGATGGAGAGACTGATATACCATCTTTATGGATTAGAAGACCCAATATAGTAAAGAAGTCAATTCTCTTCATATTTGTCTATAGATTTAACATTATTGCAGTAAAAATCCCAGAGGGATTATTGATAATATATACAAGCTGATTCTTTTTTTTAAAGGGAGGGGGGAGAGGCTGAAGCAAGAGGATCACTTGAGCCCTGGAATTCGAGATTGCTGTGAGCTACGATCGCACCTCTGAATTCTAGTCTAAGCAACAGAGCAAGACCTCATCTCTAAAAAAATAAAATGAATAAAAAATTATAACATCATTAAAAATAAAATGAAATATGGGAAAGGCAAAGGAACGCGAATACAAAACAATTTTGAAAAATAATAAAATAGAAGCAATACCAATTTTAAGACTACTGAATTTTAAGACATTATAAATCTCCATTAATCTAGACGGTGTAGTACTGGTTGGGGGACAGAAATATAAATCAATGGAACAGAATAGAGAGTCCAGAAACACACCCACACAAAATATGACCAATTGCTTTCTCACAAAGGTATGAAGGCAATTCAATGGAGAATGGAGAATGATAAACTTTTCAATAAATGGTGCTGGAAAAATTATCCATGTGTAAAAAAAATGAGCCTCAACCTAAACTGCACAACCTATATTACAACCTAAACTGCACAACCTGTATTACAACCTAAACTGCACAGCCTGTATTACAACCTAAACTGCACAGCCTGTATTACAACCTAAACTACACAACCTGTATTACAACCTAAACTACACAGCCTGTATTACAACCTAAACTGCACAGCCTGTATTACAACCTAAACTGCACAACCTGTATTACAACCTAAACTACACAGCCTACACAAAAATTAATTCAAAATGGATCATAGGTTTGTTTGTAAAACCTAAAATTATAGTTTTAAGAACATACAGGAGAAAAACTTTTGTGATCTACAGTTAGGCAGGGAGTGCATAGAGATGACACAAAAAGCATGGTTATTAGCAGGAAAATTTATCTCCCGTTGATAAATTGGACCTAATGAAAATTAAAAATGCATGTTTGCTCTGTGACAGACATTGTCAAGAGAATGAAAATATTGGCTACAGAGTGGGAGAAAGTATCTGTAAACAACATATCTGCCAAAGAATTGGTATCAAGAATAAAAAACTCCCAAAACTCAACATCAAGAAAACAAACAATCCGGACTGACAACAACAAAATGAGCAAAAGATTTGAACAGACACTTCACCAAGGTGAATATACAGACAGCCAATAAGCACATGAAAAGATGTTCGACATTAGCAACTGTTAAGGAAATGCAAGTTAAAGCCACCATGAGATTCCACCTAATAGAATGGCTAAAATAACTGACAAAGGCAAATACTGGGGAGGCTGCAGGGCAACTAGAACGCTCAGCTACCGCTGCTGGAAATGCAAAACGGTCAGCCATGCCAGAAAGCAGTTCGCTGGTTTCTTATAAAATTAAATATGTGCCAAATGGTCCCGCACCCAAATCCTAGATATTTACCCTGGAGGAATGAAATCTTATGTTTATTAAAAAAAATCATCTGGTGGCCAGGCACGGTGGCTCACGCCTGTAATCCCAGCACTTTGGGAGGCTGAGGTGGGTAGATCATGAGGTCAGGAGTTCGAGACCAGCCTGACCAACATGATGAAACCCCATCTCTACTAAAAATACAAAAATTTGCCAGGTGTGGTGGCACACGCCTGTAATACCAGCTACTCAGGAGGCTGAGGCAAGAGAATCGCTTGAACCCGGGAGGCAGAGGTTGCAGAGAGCTGAGATCGTGCAACTACACTCCAGCCTGGGTGACAGAGCGAGACTCTGTATCAGAAAAAAAAATAATAATAAAAATTATTTGGCCGGGCATGGTGGTTCATGTCTGTAATCCCAACACTTTGGGAAGCCAAGGTGGGCGGATCACTTGAGGTCGGGAGTTTGAGACGAGCCTGGCTAACATGGTGAAACCCCATCTCTACTACTAAAAAAAAAAAAAAAAAGTACAAAAATTAGCCGGGTGTGGTGGCACATGCCTGTCGTCCCAGGTACTCTCCTGCTGAGGCAGGAGAATTGCTTGAATCCGGGAGGCAGAGGTTGCAGTGAGCCAAACTGCACTCCAGCCTGGGCAACAGAGCAAGACTCTATCTCAAAAAACAAAAAACAAAACAAACAAATAAAATCCATGAATGTTTACAGCGGCCCTATTTGTAACCAACAAAAATTGGAAACAACCCAAATGTCCTTCAGCAAGTGAAGAGATAGACAAACTGGTACAGCAATACAATGGAAAACTATGCAGCAATAAAAAGGAATAAACTATTGATACATGCAGCAACTTAAATGAATCTCAAAAGCATTATGTTGAATGACAAAAGCCAGACTCAAAAGGTTACATATTCTATGACATTCCACAAAGGACAGAACTATAGTGACAAGATCAATGGTTGCCTGGGGTTGGGGCATGGGAGGGAGGATGGGACTACAAAAGGATAACACAGAGAGGTTTTGGGGAAGGGGGGTGAAGGAATTGTTTTATACCCTGATTGTAGTGGTATTCACATGAATCTACATGTATTAAAATTCACAGAACTATATACATCAACAGAAAGTCTATCTTGCTACGTAATTTAAAAGCAAAAATGATACTACAATAATGGTACTTCTCTCATAGGACTTCGGTGTTTCATAAATAGAAGCTACTAACAGAGAGGTGTCTAGGGTATTTTCCAATGCCAACCAACAATTCTCCAATTCTCCATATACTAGCTGAGTATTCTACAATTTAATTCAATTCTGATGCTAACTACTTGGAGTTAGCACAGACCCCTCAGGTTAAGGGCTCAGTCTCACAAAACTGCACCTCCCCAACTTTAGATGCCAATTGCAAATAGTGGGTCTCCAGGTTATCCACTTTTCTGTCTAATTTGGCTACAAATCAAAGGCTCCCATGACCCTCTCCTCCAGCTCAATATTTTGCAATAACACCTCACAGAACTCTAGGAAACAACACTTACCAGCAAGATGAAGAGGTACACAGGGCAAAGTATGAGAAAGAAATGTGAGGCTTACATGCCCTCTCCTGGCACACCACCCTTCCAGCATCTTGATGTGTTTGCCAACCTAGAAGCTCATCAAATCTGTTGTTCAAGAGTTTTTATAGAGCATATCTCCAGCCCCACCTCCTTGCAGCAGTGAATTCTAAATTCGATCTTTTTGACCTCAAACCAACTTTTTGGATATTAGGGCCCCTGGAAGTCCAAGAGAGACATATTAAGCTTATTTGGTACGTTAAGTCACACAAGTGGCCAGGCACAGTGGCTCACACTTGTAATCCCAGCATTTTGGGAGGCCGAGGTGGGTGGATGACTTGGGGTCAGGAGTTTGAGACCAGACTGACCAACATGCTGAAACCCAATCTCTACTAAAAATACAAAAATTAGCCAGGTGTGGTGGTGCACATCTGTAATCCAAACTATGGGGGGAGGTTGAGTCAGGAGAATTGCTTGCATCTGGGAGGCAGAGGTTGCAGTGAGCCAAGATTGCGCCACTGCACTCTAGCCTGGGTGAGAGAGCAAGACT